ATATATATATATTTATTTATTTATTTATTTATTTATTTATTTATTTTTATTTTTCAATTCTAATAACATTTTAATGGTATTGAACAATAAGTGCGGTCAAATTTTATGTGCAATTAGACTTTTAAACATCTTTCAAATTCTTTGAATTCAGATACATCACAAGCAACACGTGAAATTAAATAAATAAATAATTTAAATATTGAGAACATTACTACTCTCAAAACTAGCACTCTCTTGCATTCATGTTTAAACTTTTCACATAAATATCAAATTTTGCAACAAAACCCAAACCATATTTTTTCACTATTATCAAATTCCCAATAGTTTGATCGTGGTAAGGGTAAATACATGTGTTCGGTGATTCAAAGCAATAATATTGGTGCAAGTTTTGTAAATAGATAAATTTTGGGTGATCTATATATATATACATATATATATATATATATAAAATGAATAACTCAATTATAAATGTAGTGAAAGGTGAACTACCGTTGATGCTAGTTTTTTACTTATTTATTGGATAATATATTATTCCTAGTTAATGTAGTATTAGGAAAGATCTTTTCCTTAAACGAATCTCTAAGTTATTGACCAATGCACTTAAGCTATAAATGAGGGAATGGTGTGCTAAACTTACAATAGTGCCAGCCTTAACAATATTAAAGAGTGAACAAGATATAATCTTGGGTATATCTATGATAATCCCCTTATGGATAATAAAATTTAAGGTCACCCTACCCCTTGTCACCTTATTGATATTTTGACTGGGTTCTAGCTTGGCAAAATTAAAGTAGTGCAAAGCGTTAGACACAATAGTCATACTGAAAGCTAAAAAAATTAGTCAATTTCCTCCTAGTTTTTAATTGGACATGAGTGTCAATTCAAGGAAATCTAGAATTGTCTCAAAAACAGAATAACCATTATGATATGTCGAATACTCATCAAAAACATAATTAAAAAAAATGGTAAACTTAGTCAATAGTCCCAGAATTAAAAGACGCCCATTTTTCTTACACATGTTTTATAATTTAAGCGTTCGTTTATGTTCATAATCCTAAAGCACATGCACTGTAGCGTTACATGAATATTGGATGAATTTTCTCAACCCCCTTGCATTATAACACTTTCTCTCCAACATATAGTTAGGACTCAAAAAACCCCACTACATTTTTCAAGCCTTTAATGTAATTATCCATTTTTCATTTGGGTCGATTACATATACAGACCGACCAAAACATTGCTATTTACAAATCAAGCATCCTCGTTCATCCGATTTTCAAATTGTCACTCAAATATGAAAGGTCATGATAAAACCCCAACCAATAATTGTCATTTTCATTTGATTCTCAATGGATTGATCATAGCACACAAAAATACATCAGTTCTGCAGTTAAAAAACATAACCTCGTTGTTGTATTTTTCAAATCATAAAATTTAAATTTTATATTTTCCTAAATCACAAAAATTGAAAATGCATAAAAACATACCGTTCAATTTACATAAATACTTAGATGAATGATTGAATCCATATTAACTTCAATTTGACGGTAAACTATTGTGATTTGGTGCACCATAGTGGAAAATCCAAGGAAAAGGTGGTGCGCGGGTTCGGAGTTTGCGAGAGCATGAGTAGAGGAAATGAGAAAGTTTTCATGTCGGCGCACAGTTTAAAGACTTTTCGACAGCTTACCTACGCTACAAACACCAACGGCTTTTAATTACTTAATAACTTTCAGGTTTAACTGTGGGTTGCTATGAATGAGCGGCATTGTTTTGCGATGACCTGTGACTGTCGGTCTATAGTTTACATTAAACCAACGAAAATAAACCGTTGGTTTATCTTCAAACTCCTTCGGAAAGTCCCTTTACTAAATAGCTATTGTTTAGGAGTTGGAAAGCCATTAGAAATTATGCTTAATGAATACCGTCGATAAACCCTTAGAATTAAACTCGATATTTAGGACACAAGAAAAGTCATTTGTTATTCCATTGGTATAGGCTATTTTCCCCATAGCGAATAATCAAATCTCATGAGATTTCAAATCGCCTTTGTCTTATACCTACTAGTTATTGCAATCTTTTCTTTTGAATTTTATGCTTCTCATTAATAGCATTCAGCGCTTGAATAAGTTTGTGTCAATAGCATCCTCCTAAATCTGGTGGTCTTTGGGCACCAGTAGTACCTCTTTAGTGTCAGCATCCTTCTATATAGCTCCTCACATTACTTTGTATGCTAGTTCTTTGTTGGATTAGATCTTATTTAAAAAAAATTAATTCTCTCACCTACTTGCTCTCTCCTGTCATTTTTTATTCCTCTGCTGCCTATAGTCGCAGCTTCTCACATTCTATTGACTATTCTGACCTTTCATCTTATAGCATTTGTTATTCCATACCTCTTTCCAAATTTTAATCATATTTAGATGGGATGGCTCCCAATCACTATCATCAAGCTCTCCACTTTCACTTTCATAAAAAAATATATATATTGGCATCTAAATTTTATGAATGTTTGAAGTATCGGCCCCCCCTTAAAAATTGTTGTATGTCATGTCCCCAATTTATTTTAGGAATGATCTGTCTTATTTAAAAAAATTAATTCTCTCACCTACTTGCTCTCTTCTGTCATTTTTTATTCCTCTGCTGCTTATAGTTGCATCTTCTCATATTCTATTGACTATTCTGACCTTTCATCTTATAGCATTTGTTATTCCATACCTCTTCCCAAATTTTAATCATATTTAGATGGGATGGCTCCCATTCACTATCATCAAGCTCCCAACTTTCAGCTTCATAAAAATATATATATATTCGCATCCATATTTTTTGAATGTTTGAAGTCTCAGTCCCCCCTTAATAATTGTAGTATGTCATGTCCCCAATTTATTTTAGGAATGATCTATATTTGACCGATGTCCATTTGTTTTCTTGGTGAGGATAGTAAGCATATAGGTTTTCCGACTATTAATTATCGAATTTGACCACTTCCTTTTAATTCATTCTCATTGGTAATTGTTAAGTGGTTGGCATTCACTGCAAGTTAATCTGAAGATATTACTTGAATGAATATTACTTTGGAGGAAAATCTTCAGTATCTCCCCTTAACCTTAATAATACATTATTGAAATTCAAAAGAGGTGAAGATTAGTTTGCTCTATTTATATTAAGGATATTAAAAATTAAGAGATTTCTTATAAAATAAGCAAACGATCTCCTAATATTCATCTCTCCTCAAAATGTTTAATTGCGCATATATTGAATGTTTATTCTCTTCTTAGGGCCCTACCATCTATTTGATAAAAAATTTGTGTTCCCATTGTTTCTTTATTTAGCAAATTAACCTCTTTATATCAAAGTACTTATTATTTCTCTCATTTGATCATTTATTTTAAAATTTTTGGTTGAGTTCAGTGTGACTCATCATTTTTAGTTGGTGTCATATTTCATATGTAGATTAGATAAAAAAATGTTAGCAATAATCAAAGAACAATGATTAAGATTAGATAAAAAAAATGTTAGCAATAATCAAAGAACAATGATTAATTGTTTCCCTAAATTTTGCCATTTTTTTCATCAATTTAAGCATGGGAATTATGTTTTATTGATGACATAAAATTCTCTGTCTCTCTCTCTCTCAAGCAATTACAATGACTATTACTCAATCTTAGCATATTCTTGACAAATACTGTCATATTCTTTCAGCAGAGGAGCTTGGCTGCATTCAAATGCAAGTGAAATGGAAGATCTTAGACCAGCGAACTTCTCATCTGAAGCTGATGTAATGCATAACAATCATTTCTTTTGTCTACTACACAAGTATCCACATATTAATTTTGCATTTTCTAGCTCAACTCAAACTTGTCCCTGTGCAGTGTAATGTGACTTCATCACCAACTGATTCACCAAGGTCGCTCAAGGAATTTGAAAACCCTAGCTTGGAATTTACACTTGGAAGGCCAGATTGGCATAGCTCAGAGCATGATTAATTAGCTCATAGTTGTGTAATTTAGCCCTCTTGTTTTTTTTTTCCCCCTTAGACTTTATTTAATTAGTTGCAAATAGAGAAATGTAAAAGAGATGATCGCAAATACGTCAAAATTAACTCTGATATCAATTGCATGTTGCATGAGTCTAAAATTTCATATTGGCCCTTGACTTTTCTATATATTCCACTTTAATTATGGGTGAAATACGTGTGTGATAATGGAGTTTATTGTACTGGGCTTGCTGGTATGAGTGTGGGTGTTTGTATTTGAGAGAGAAGAATGTGATTTTAATTAGCTCTCCATAGGAATTCAATATGGCTGTTTTCTTTGTTTCTCCTTTGTTATATGTAATTTAATAGTTTGTTTTCTTTATTTTTTTTTTCTTGTTTTAATGCTTGTTATATTAATAAATATATTTTTTTTTAATATTAAATGTTGAAATTTGGAGTTTAATATTGAATTATTATATAGATTCGAATAGTAAAGTTACTAGCTATTATAATGCATGAACTACAACAAATATGGGGATTTATACACTTAGCATTTGAAATCTTATTTGTATATAAATTTAATATATGTGCTATTTTTTTCTAATTATAAAATTCATTTATTCGCACTTGAACAATCAAATTGTAGGGAATTAATTTGCAAAAGTGAGAAAATATGAGTTAGATTTTTATGTTAAATTCAATGTTTGAATGAGATGTATTAAAATTATAGATAGAAAAGTGGTAGCTTTATAAATAGCCAAACTTTAAATTTTATGCATGCAATTGCTAAAAGGAAAAGTCTAGATATTACTATTGCCAGCTTTTTCAATAAAGACAATATTGGAGACCTATTTTGCTTGTAATAATAAATATATTTCCAAAAGTTATTTTTTTTCTCAAGCCACTTGAATCAACCATCTTGAAAATCTTCACTTTGTTTTAAGCTAATGTGATAACCAACAAATTTTGAGGCTATTTTTGGTTTCTTCAATAAATAGGGCCCAAACCATCAAAAGATGCTTTTTTTCTTTTCGCACACTAAATCCTAACGCACGGCATGTTCATGCAAGGCCTTGAACCTAAGAATTGTTGCTTGAAAGACAAAGCACTCAACCATTAGGCCAAGACAGTTGGCATTTTAGAGGATGTATTTAATCTAGGGTGGCTATGAATTTAAATCAAAGCTTAAGATGTGTATTTGCTTTTTATCTTAAACTTTTGTGGCAGGCTTCTAAAATCATTGCTAAGAACATAATTTATTGGAGGGAAGGGGGAGAGAGAGAGAATAAATTTAGGGCGTCATGATTTGGTTTGCCAAAGAAGGGTGTTCCTTTCTTTACATTCTTGTTAATGATAAAATTATAAATAGCTACTCTAACAGTCTATTAATTGTTAATAAAGTTGTAAGTGACTTGTTTGGTAATCAGAATGAAAAAGCTAATTTAAAATTGATTTTTTTTTTCCGCTGCCATTATAGTTTTCATTCCACAAACAAACACAAATTACTAGATATGCAAATCTGTAAAATAAATGAAACAGAAAGACATTAGTAGATAACAAAAATATGGGTAGAACTTTCCTTTCTTCTCCACCGTAAAGAAGAGAACTTGGCTCGTGTGCACTTGAGTTTAAGAATGAGAAAAAGAAGTGATGAGTACTAGAAGATTCGCGGCAGTAGAGTAATAGACTATCATCTTAGCGTTGCACAAAGATTCAGCACACACTCACATAAAAGGAAACAACCCAGTAGAGAGACCAGAAGTCTAAAGAAAAATCACGGTGTCTGACCTAGTTGTAAAAATTCACTAAAATAATTGATTACAGAGACATCTTGTCCTACAGGTGGGAAATGATTACAAAGTCTCTCAAATTACAATGTCGAAGTGCGGATGAGCTTGTTACAAAAATGGACGGCGACCGAAAGAGATAAGCGGCGACCGGTAGGTGGTGGTATACTATAGGCGGCAGTGGTCAACAACGACAACAATGATGTTGTACTTCAGCTCCTTCTCAAAGCTTCAAGTTCTTCCTCAATTCTCAAGCTCTCCTCCCTCATGAGAGGGAATTGACTCTATTTATAAAGTCTTTGATGCAATTAATACAGCAATATGAACCACTTTAATCGGACGATCTGAAGAACATCCTTTGATCTTACAATGTTTGATGAATATTTACGTGTTTTAACAGTGTGAAGATTGAGTTATCTTGAGCTCATTGGATTCATCTTGTCGAGACACTCAATTCGGCTATAAACTTGGTGGATTTGACATCTGTTTAACCCCCAAATATGTATAGAAAGCTTCCAAAGGCGTTTAATGGCTTGATTGGGGCTTGTTTTGGCTCGGATTGGACAAATTTCAAATGTGTATAGAAAGCTTCCAAAAGCTTCGTGCTGGATGATAGGGATTTATTGATGGCGTATCAATTACCCCCTATTTTTAAGTGAGAATAACTTCATTGTCCAAAAATATCCAAATCTTGTAAACTTTATTTTTATAATTATACACACATACATACACACACGTAAAATTACAAAATTAAATAATATAGAAACATATTTGTGTATATATATGACATATATGAACGATATTAGATATTACAAGAATGGGTGTTGTATAGATACACATACAAATATTTATACATATATACATAGATACACACATACATAAATACACACACACAGATATATATATATATATATATATATATATATTTATTTATTTATTTATTTATTTCCACTTTATCTTCAAAAGATTTTTGGGGCAACCATGCTTTGCCATATTATTTAATCCCGTGGCCAGAATTTGGAACGCCAAAAGAAGTTGGTGGCCGGAATGCAAACCAGTCGAATTGGAAATTTGAATGGCCCAATTTCAACAGGCAGCTAGGAATTTGAATGAACCCAAACTTTGGATGGCCTATTTCGGCAGTTGGGAATTTTAATGGAGCAAACATGAATTTAGAGTGGCTAGCAAAAGGAATAGGAAAGAGATTTCTGTTTTTTCTTATTAGAATGGCCGAAATTAATTTTTTGTCATAAATTCATATGATTTTTTAGCCTATAAATAGGCATGAAAGAGATGGTAGAGGTGGAGTCTCAATTCCTGCATAGGAGGTGATCCATAATTTTTTATATGAAGAAAGTCGTCTCTGACATGTGTAGCAAGTAAGCAACATGTTCTTCTTTCTTGAACAAGGACTAGAAAAAAGCCGTCATCGTCTTGTATAGCAAGTGAGTAACGAGATCTTTTTTAGTGTTGCAGTACTGAAGAAAATTGTCCTCATTCTGCGTAGCAAACGAGCAACGAGATCTTCTTTCTTGTTGTAGTGCAGAAGAAAGTCGTTCATGTCTTGCGTAGCAGGCAAGCAACAAGATCTTCTTTCTTGAAGAATGTGTTGAGGAAAATTGTCCCCGTTCTGCGTAGCATACAAGCAATGGAATTTTTTTTAAAAAAGGTGCAGAGGAAAGTTGTCTCATGTTGCTTAGCAGGAGAGCAACGGAATCTTCTCTCTTGAAAAAGGTGCGGAGAAAAGTTTTTTTCGTGCTTCGTAGCACACAAGCAACGGGATCTTCATTCTCGTTGTTGAGCATAAGAAAGTCGTTTTCATCCCGCGTAACATGCAAGCAATTGAATATTCTTTCTTAATGAAAGTGCAGAGAAAAATCGTTTATATCCTGCATAGCAAACAAGCAAAAGGATCTTCTTTAGTGCTGCTGAGATGAAGAAAGTTATTTTCATCCCTACCTAGCAGGTGGCTCGAGATCTTCTTGCTTGTTGTTGCAGCATATTCCGATGGAGATGAAGAAATGCTAGAGCTTTCCCACTTCGCTTTGAGGATGAGATTTTCATGCTTCTGTGGTGGTGATATATGAAGACTCACTTAAGAGCAGCAGAAATACTAGAATTTCGAGAAGGTACTGCCAACTCCACTCAAAGTTGAGTTGATTTGTTGTAGCTCTTTAATTACCTGATGTGGCATTTGCACATGATGATGATGATGTGTCTCGTTGTATTTCTTTGACGTTGCTTCTGAAGTTTTTATGGCCTCTCAGTGGTGCAGAAGTCTGTAATTAAAGCTAACACATACACTTATATAAAATAAAATTGCGTACTATTTGAAGCTCATGTCTTCTTTGGTTTATGCCTTCTAAGAGTTTGAAATGCATGATCCTAGACACATTGATTGTGTTCTTAGTGTGTGATACACCAAAAAATGTGCAATGTTATGTATACATTTTATACTTAAATTTTATAATAGTGCACTTTAAAGAAGGGTATTTTCATGTTTTATTTCAAGTATATTGATTTTAGGAATTTTGAGCAAAAACGAGCAAAAATGGGGAAAATTAGAGCCAAAATGAAGCTTTTCAGTATTCTGGCACCAGAGGCGCCATTTTATAGCGAAGCGGCGCCAGAAGCACCAGAATCCAGAATACAACGTGAAACTTCAATACACTAACGCCAGAGACGAATTAAGATGGATTAATGTGGTTATTAACTATTTTTTTGCAGTTCTAGAATGCTCCAATCAATTCAAATGCCTCATTGAGTGATTTAATGCATCTAGACACTTTGAAAAGGCTCTTGAATGAAGAGATATGTCTCTTGGATGAAAGGACTTGTCTCTTGATGTGAAGAGGTGTGTATATTAGAAAAAAGGATGGAATTTTAAATTCTTTTAAGGGAATGTTGTCCCCAATAAAAGGAGTCTAGTGAGCCTTGTGCAAGGTTTTGGTGAGGTCTAAGAGTGGCGTGAGAGAGATTTGTGGAGAAGAGTTAGGTTTTTCTTCTAGAGTTGTAAAAGGAGAGGGAATGTGAGAGATTTCTTCTTCATTGTATTTCTAAGAGAGAATTGAGTGTGATTGTAAAGAGAGAAAATGCTTAAAAGAAACTTTAAGGGATTTGCTTGAGGAGTGTGAGATAAATTGTGTTCTTTCCTTTATTTATTCTGTAACTTTGTTTTTATATATAAAATCTATGTTTTGTCATATCCTTCTCATAAATTCTAAGTAATTTTTTTTATCATTTTTCTACAATGAGATATGATTTTGTGAAGGATTAATTTTTTTATGTAAGGTTTTAAATGTCAATAAATTGTGATGATTTGAACTCTGATCTTCATTTACTTTCAATATGACCAATTAAAATGTTAAAATTTGTTGAGAATTATAAGATCCAAAAGGGCTATGCTTTCTACAACAAGGTAAGAGTCACATTTAATTTTATGGGTGAGAATGTAGTCCATGGGGTGGAGTGCAAATAATAGGAAAATATATTTTGATGGGCGCAGAATTGGAGATTTTAGTGTGACAGACTAAGAG